TTATGCCATCTACGCAAATGAACGGGTCTTTTAACACTTTTGAAAGATACTTATATAGGTCATGAAATAATGCAAGCGATATGTTTACACTTGTAAATAATTGAAATTTTCGAAAATTTTTAAAAATTCAATTTAGCCTTACAAAAAATTTTCGGGGGCTTAACTAACGTCACGCCCCTTTTTCTAAAATTTCTGAATTACGGGCTCGCATTTCGCGGCACATCAAAAAGATTTTTCGGAGTACTGACTGACGCCATGCACTTTACGCCACTGTTTGTAGCGATTCTGAAAATTGCGAATAAAATGAAGAGCGGTTATGACTCGTTCCGTATTGCAAATCTAAGGCAAGCCTGCTCTACAGAATCCTACTTTGAGTTAACAAGTGACGTGACTGGTCAGAAGTTAAAGTGACCAGTCCAAGCGAGCTGCCCACCATTAGATGCAGCATAATACGCTAGCTTCAAATCTGTATTCCATATCTGCTTAGTGCCTTTGTAGACGAAGTTAGAAGCCGTTAAAGACTGTTATTTTGTTAAGAAAGCGTGCATACAAAGCGCAAATTTGGCAGTACAAAGCCATGTTCGGGTAAATAGTGGGCCAACGCCAGCTAGGTGTTACTTCATAGCCCAAACCTGAAGGTGAGCTAAAGGGTTGTTTCAGACTGCCGCATTGACTGCAGCAGACTGCAGCAGACTGCAGCTGACTGCACTGACTGCAGCAGACTGCAGCAGACTGCAGCTGACTGCAGCAGACTGCAGCAGACTGCAGCTGACTGCAGCAGACTGCAGCTGACTGCAGCTGACCGCCGCACTGACCACACTGAACGCACCGGTCGCAGCCTCTTTTTTTGAAAGAAAAAACAACCGCGATTTTCAAAACAGCGTGATTTGCTCATAAGAAGATCATAAGTTCCATCAGAATTCTTCTCAATCAAATTTTGGCAATAGTTTTCTTTGGTGCTTAGTGCCTTTGTAGACGAAGTTAGAAGCCGTTAAAGACTGTTATTTTGTTAAGAAAGCGTGCATACAAAGCGCAAATTTGGCAGTACAAAGCCATGTTCGGGTAAATAGTGGGCCAACGCCAGCTAGGTGTTACTTCATAGCCCAAACCTGAAGGTGAGCTAAAGGGTTGTTTCAGACTGCCGCATTGACTGCAGCAGACTGCAGCAGACTGCAGCTGACTGCACTGACTGCAGCAGACTGCTGCAGTCAGTGCGGCAGTATGAAACAACCCAAGAGGGCAATAATGCACTCATTTTCGATTAAATGTACGATTGTTCCGCAATAAACCTGCTCTTAACTTCGTCCACAAATGCGGTAAGCAGGTATGGAATAGAGATTTACAATCATCGTTGAATGCTGCATCCAGTGGTAGGCAGCTTGCTTGAATTGACTTCTGACGATTCCCTCGTAAATACTTTGTGGGAAGAAAGCTATTGACATTTATGTACTTACTTTTGGGACACCTTGTGTATCTGAACATCAGAACAAGGAGGAGATCAACAAGCGGCATCGGAAGAGCGCGTTAAGTTTTCCAAAACCTGCAAGCGAAGCGCGAAATATCAAAAAAGCGCATTTTCTGCGACCGCCCACCATGGCGATTGCTTGAATGATGTCGAACTTCAAACCGTAGTCTCGCTTCGATTTGTACTTCATCCTTCTTCCTTTCCGGTCTTTCATGATATATCAAAACCACCTCATTTGCATGTAGAAGTGTGCATCAAGGTTCACCTTTGACGGGTTCGTTCTATCACGGCATCCGTATACGATGCAAAGTAAGGAAGAGAGCACTGAACACATACGTGCTCCAGCCTCAATCTGAATTTCTCCGATTGCCCTGCAGCTGGTTATAACCTACTCAAATCTTCGTTGCAGACCATCTCTGTCCATGGGATATACTCTTCCTGCACCATGTATCTCCGTAAGCCCAACATATGTTTTCACGAAGCACATTATCGAAGGCTTTTTGATTTAGGAAGGGTAAACTGTAAATCTGTTTTTCTAAACCTCTCATTCACAATCCGGCGTAGTGGATGGTACGTTTATCTAATTATAGCTTTCATAAAACTGCATTCAGCTGATGACAATTTTAGACACTTTGAAGCCTTTTTCAATAGCTATTTGAAGAGCTTGACCTAGGATGCGGAATATGCGATGTCTTTGTTCTTCCGTATCGGAAAGATCATGTTGGTATACCAGCCTTTGAATCCTTAGCCTTTATATTTAAGGTCATGCTAGTATACTGATCCTGAAACGTATCCTTAGCCTTTATAACTGGTTAAGGAGACTCAAATTCCGATTGCTCATATCAGATTAGCCACCTTGCGTTCTTCATTCTCCGTAAGCTACAGTCCCTCGGCGAAAGCTTTTGGTGCACCTGCTTCGTCTTCTCTAGAAACCTTTGCGTGCTTGACGTGTTAACGTCCCTCCAGGTTCAACCTGTGCCACAACATACTGTCATCCCTTTGGTGCTTCATTACCATTTGCACTCCTTCATTCCACCATCACTTTTCTTTATAGGTTCTCCCTCCCCCCGTGATATAGAATTCATGTTTCCTATCTGATGGACGCAATCTTCAAGTTCGTCAGTCGTTCAAGTTCATGATTGTTCAGGGTTGTCTCGTATATCTACGGAATTCAATGAGTGCTGCTTTCCGCATTGCTTCTCCATTTTCAGCATTTAATGCGTCTTTTGGATTTTATGGTTTTCCTTGTGTACCTGCGTATCCAACTTTGAAGTCAAAAGACATCTCGGTTTTGGAACGTTAGGTTAAGATTCTCACTATCTGCTGAATGTCTTCGAAGACAATTTTTCTTATTGTTGTATGCAGCTTTCACCGAGTATGATATGCAGTCCTTTATGTTTCACGATGGAAAAATACTAAGTTGATTCAGGCATTAAACGGTTTATCTCGGTTTTGGAACGTTAGGTTGAGATTCTCACTATCTGCTGAATGTCTTCGAAGACAATTTTCATTTACGTGTAACGCTCCAAAGAAATTGGTCATCCGCACATCTTTTGAGCGGATCCCATCTTTTTAGGTGAACAGGCACCTAACCTCTCCGGGAAAACGATTAAGCAGATAGTGAATGCAGATTTGTGCTTAGCTTTTCAAGTTGAGATGGACCGTATATGTCTTATTACAAATGATGTATGAGATCACACTGTCAATAGCTTAAAAGTCCGACTCGCCTTTCTCTGACATGTTTCAAAATTTGCTCTTAGAAATTCTCTTGTCAAAACTGTTGTGATCGTAGTTTCATCTTCAAATAACTTGTACTACATAGACAGTTATGAAGTGTAGAAATTGTTTCTTGACGTTTGATTCCATGGCCATGAAACCGTCGCTCATGCTTTGAACACCACCGCAGTTTACTCTTTGAAGCGACTTCATTCCAACCCAATTTTTGCTCTTGGTTGTAAAAAAAACACTTTCTTGAATGCAGACCATATCGTTTCTTCAGGAGATCCTTCAGCTTACGCAAACGAGCGCTACGTTGATGATAGCTAGCCAAAGGCGCTATGATCTTTATCGTTACTTTTGGTACACCAACGGCTTTTGCCTCCGTTCACCTTGCTAAGAAGCGAGCACCAGCTCATTGCATTCGTTCCTTGATTGTGCGAGTTTCTTTGGGCGAATGTAAATTGTGCATTTGAAGAACTGTGCTGTTATAGTCGTCCTCATCCCGCTAGACATCTAGGGCCGCATGCATTAACATCCCCGCTGGGGATTGGAGCAGTTCAAAAGAAAGCTTCATATTCTGAAGCCTCTATATATCTGGATTTCACGCTGTCTATGTGTCCGCAAATATTCATACTATCCTCAACTATGAACACATTGAACAGCAGCGAGAACTTGTACGAGCCGCATTTTCCAGCTTTTGTATGACTGATAATCCCTGGCGCTTCTCTTCAAAGTCATTTTTCTTTTTTTTTGAAGTCAACGAAATCTTCTAAAGTTGTACTGATTATCTAACACATCAGTGCTAAGCATGTTGTTAATGAGAACAAACGAGTTTTTGGAAATTAAATTTTAAACACCAACTTTTGAATTGCGGTTCATCGCAAATTTCATGACTCCGATACAGCTCTTGTTCTTATCAGCAACATGCTAAGCACTGTTGGGTTAGATAATCTGCACAACATTGGAAGCTTTTCGTTAATCTTGGAGAAAGAAAAATGACTTCAAAAAAAGCGCCGGAGACTATCAGGGATCATACAAAAGCTGTAAAATGCGGTTTGTACAGTTTCTCGCTTGTGTTTAATGTGTTCGTAGTGAAGGATAGTAGGAATACTTATGGATCAACGTGAAATTCAGATATCTATAGCTTCAAAATACGAAGCCTTCTTTCGAGCTGCGATTACTCCCCGTGGGGATGTTAATGCATGCGGCCCCTAATGGGCAAATTTGAATTTGGACTGGAGCAAGCCGGCTGTCATAGATTACACCCTCAGCCATCAGCCCAAGCTAACAAATGTTTTTTGTTCTTTTGTCGTTGTGTGCTACTTTATATGCGTAAGCAATGTTGGTGATAAAGATTGATGGTTTTGTTGTTGTTCAGCGATGTTGCTATCATCGACCTCGTTTGAACTTTGGGTGAGCTTACAGAAAGGGTGTTGAGAAATCTTGCAACATGAACATCACTAAATCAACACCTTATCACATATCACTTATCGAAAAAGAATTTACAAGCAAAAAATCCACTATCTCAATCAGCTACCCAAAAACAGAGTTAAAGAAACAAGCGCGCAAATTTGAAACATCGTCTCAACAATTGTAAATCGTCAATCCTGATCAAGAACATTGTTAAAACGCAGAAAATAGCAAATAACGAGTAAAAATGAAAGAAAAACATTCGTAAGTCTGATATAAGGGCTGAGGGTGTCGCACTCTACCCTCTTCCATCCAAATTCGAATTTGCCCATCAATTTGCCGCTCAATTTGCCAGGATGTCTAGCGGAGTGAGAACAACTATACATTGTGGGTACCAATTTTCCAGTTCCGCATTTGGTCAAGAAGGGAGGCAAAATCAATGACAAAGTATGCGCTTCAAGCAGGAATCAAATGCCTTGAGCTCTACGAGAGCCTGTTCAACTATAAGTTTCCTCTGAAAAAGCAAGGTAGGTAGTGTTGAGTAACAGATTTATACGTTTGAAAATCCGCTTCAGACATGGTGGCTCTTCCTGATTTTACCGCAGGTGCAATGGAGAACTGGGGCATGATAACATACAGGTTTTCAACTTGTGTGAACCGCCTTTTCAAAGTTTGGTTTACCTCTTTTAGGGAGAAGTATCTTCTATACGACGACGTTTTATACAGCCAAGACAACAAACGTTTAGTGATGACAGTTGTTGCACATGAACTTGCTCACCAGGTCTGTTCTTTATGATCAAACACTATAAACACGTATAAACAAAGTCGAAATTTGTTTATAATTATGCTCACCCACTGCAGAAAAAATTTCTTGTCCTCTTCTTTGAAATGTATTAAGCTGTGCCATAAGTTTTGTCCGTTTTGACTTCCAACCGTAATAGATCATACATAACTATATCTTAATAGGTTTGTTGCTATTTCTTAATAGAGCGAGGCAAGCTCTACAGCATGACATTTGGCTCTCGCACCAGCTTCAATCCACCCCATGACTAAGGCGCAAAATTCAAAAAGTGGATGCGCAAAAACTAAATTCGTTTCGTCCAATAAAATTTTTCAAGCATAAACGTAAGACTAACACATTGCATATAAACTGTTACTCAGTGGCGATCGCAGAATTTTCGTCCTGGGAGGAAGAGGAGGAGGGGGGGGGGGGGGAAAAAATTTTTTGGGAAGGAGGCGCATGGCGCTAACCATGCACTTCGAAGAATTTTTAGTGACCATTCTCAAAATTTTTCCGTCTAAAACCCCTGAAATCTAAAAAAAGGGGGGGGGGGTGGAGGCAGCCACTTAAATTGAATTTTCAAAAATTCCAAAAATTATTTCAATTATTCACAAGAATAAACAAGTCACTTGCACTTTTTATAACGCAAGTAAGTAAACCTCAAAACCCATTCTCGGGAAGGGGTGGGGGGCGATCCTCCCCGGTCCGTCACTGCTGTTACTGTAGTTTTTCCTTGATTTAAGCGAGAAAACGAAAACGCAATGTCCATGCCAGAGTGATGCTAAGTTGTTTCCATTTGAGTAATAGTATACCAAAAATCTTTAAAAGTACAATAAATCTTCACCGGGTCCTAGCACAGGGTAACAAATATCAAGGCGGATATCGTTTTAAAGGCACCGTCCACCCTAAGTTGAGGGTGTTGAGCTTTTGGCAGCATGTAATAGTGAGGCCCCCTACAAATCCAATGCCCATGTCGCGGCACAAAATGCCGCTTCGGAAGCGATAAAATCGCTTTGGAATAGTGAAGATGCACGAGAACCCCCATCCATACCCGCCCATTTGTGCGCGCCCATCCAATTCACCGTTCCGGAAAGCCGGCCTGTGGGTTCTCCGGAACGGGGATTGTCGGGGTTTTCGCGCATTCTCAACTTGCTATTCGCAATCAGGGACATGAGATGGCCCTAGAACGACAAAAACGTTGAAGTCGAAAATCTGGGTGGACGGTGCCTTCAAGGGAAAGAAGGGGAGTATCGTGATTACACACGCTCACGTGCACACCTTAACTCTCAAATATAACCCGAGAAACAAGCTTTTGCACGATTCACGTGTTCAAACAAAATCTTGTTTGCACGAGTTTCTTGGCACAAAGCAATAAATCACTCATCCACTTACAGATGACAATATATCACTAATTTTGTTACATAAACGAGTAAAGGCTGAGAGGAACTAATCTCAAAATTTGTGGAAAATCATGCGAAATGGTGTAGCAAGCTCAAGCTTATTCACTGAAAATACCCGCTATCAAGAATTGGGAAACACGCTTGCAACGCGCAGCTAACAACATGCTTTGATTTGGTGTATATGCGCAGTGGGGAATAGGAACAAAGCATAAAATTGCATGAAATAATGGGAATAAAGAGCTTGTCTAACGTTTTTCAAATTAGAATCATCTAATTTAATGCAACTCTTGGGGCCGTATGCGCGTACATTTCCGCTGGGAAGGGAGAGGAGCTGAGGAGGACGCGCTATATCTTGCTGCTTTGTATATCCGTGTTTTTCTTCGTTTATGTATCTTGTGAAGGTTCTCACATCCTGAAATCTGAGTTTATAATCCCAATATAATTGCCATACACGTCGAGAATTTCACTTCCAATGTGATCCCCTAGGAGATCCCCGAAAGATCAGCCCTTGTTCAAAGTCCACACGTCTATAGTCTATGAACTTGATGAATGGTTGTGAATTGTACTGAATATTTATTATGGCACTGTCAGGCGTTTTTTGACAGGACAAATAGAATGTGAAGGCTTTGAGTTTTCGTTAAACATAACCCGATAAGTGTCGGTGGGAAAGACATTTAAGCGCCGAAGCTGTTCTACGGCTAGAACTGTAAAATGTATCAATGCTCTTTTCTCTGTTTTTTTTTCACTTGTAAAGTAGACAGTGTCTTTCAATTTGACGCGGATGCCCCTTTCGGCGATATAAAGAGCACTTATCCATTGTTGGAAACTTGATTGCATATTCGAACAGACATCACATTGGTATCACAACTAATATTGATACATTTGAATGTATCCATTAAGAGGTCAGAAGTATTCAAAATAAAACTTAATTTGTGCGTTTCGTTACCTGACATAAGGACACGCAAAGAAATGTAGTCTTACAGAATGACAATCAAAGAGCAGAAGATATGTTGCTGGAGCAGCGTGATATGTTGCATCCTCTCAGCATTCCCCCCCCCCTTTTCAGCGGGGTTATATGCGCATGAGGGCATCAGGATGGCAAAACTAACGGCTGTAATTTTTTTTCCAAAATTTTCACATACCCTCGATATCATCCCATATGTCTTCCCTCAACATGACGTGGATTACGTGGCTTGATGAGGCGCCGCCTCGCCTCGGGCTTGTGCCACGTTGCGTGCGCATTTTCGGCGTGATGTGGCAACAAGAAGAACGTGGAAAAGCCTGCGCCACGTTGTGTTGAACGCCACGTCGCGCCAAATGATGCGCTCGCAACGTGGCGCGAGCCCGAGGCGAGGCGGCGCCTCATCAAGCCACGTAATCCACGTCATGTTGAGGGAAGACATATGGGATCGAGGGTATACTTGCATCCAAAATTTACTGGGTATCAATATTTTAGTTCAAAACTCCTTCTCTCCTATTTGTCAGAATTCGACTTAGCAAGGATGCGCGCTCCTTAAGAGGAAGGCTCCCGCCAGAGTGCCGAAGCGCGCTCTAGTTTCGTTTCTCAGGTGCCCATTTGCCACTCCCGTGCCACTCTTGCGCTCTGCAAACTCTATTTCGAATCATCGATGTAGCATGACCCAAGTAAGGAAAGCTGCTCGATGTTTCTCAAATACTAATGCTTATAGAAAGCTGATGAATTAGAGTGTATTTCAAAGGTTTGTCAGCTACAACTTGTGCAGGAACAGCACAGCATCACTTTGGCTGAAACATGAAATTTCGTCTTCGCGATTTATAGCCGAGCAAAATCAGCAACGATATATGGGTGTTCAGTGTTTATTGTATACATTCGAGCGAGTGAGAGATTTCCAGAATTTTATCAAACAAGGATAAAGTTTTCAACGAAACTTTTTGAGCATCCACAACTTGTTGCATTTTGGCTTGCTAAAGACTCAAGATGGAATTGAAGCTGGTGCAATAGCGTAAAGGTTATGTCGTTGCTTGCTTTTTTCATGGTGCCTTAAAATATTTCGAAGGAAGAACTGTATTACTTATTGCGTTTGGGGAATCGACAGCACTTATGAGGCAACCTCATGTTCTGAGATGGAAAGCTAACAATGCTATCTTCCAACTATTCTGCTTACAGGCCCCGTAAAATCTAATTGCCCACGCGTCGCTCTGAACACCAACGCGGCTGGATACGTTTGGCCCCGAAGCGCTACAGGCTTTTTGCGAGCGACAATGAGCGCGCACCCTTTCTACACTTATTTTTTTAAGCTTTTGAAGGGAGCTTAAAAAATATACCTTGCCAACAAAATATACCTTGCGTTGACGAGAACAACATGAAACTTGGGGAAAAATTTCTTGGAATATTGTGAACGCCGACAGTCGTTCGCGACGACCGTTTGCTTACGCTGGTGTTTAAGGCACGGCGCGGGCAAGTAGGATTTACGGCGCCTATACTTTTGAATTTCTTCGTTTTCCGCATAAAAATTTCTCGGAATGAAAAAGAAATATGGATTGCAAAGCAGCTGAAGGCATCATGTGGCAGGAAGTGTTCAAATGTTGATTTGGCATACAATCACGAATTTTTGATTTTTGCGGTACACCGTCTCCGAGTGATTATCATCCGAGGATGACGAAGTAAACAAATAAATTTCTGCCACAAACTTAACAATCTCGTCTAGTACCTGTATAATTTCTTATTTTATAGTGGTTCGGCAACCTTGTTACTTTGAAATGGTGGAATGACGTGTGGCTTAACGAAGGTTTTGCCACTTATCTCGAATATGTTGCTGGGAATAAAATCGATAACTGGATGGAGACGGTAAAGTTCACTGTCTTCGAGTTAAAAGTCCATCTTCACACATATCCTTAGGAGCAGTTCTTCATAATCGAGCAGTTGGAAAAAAGCATGGATATAGACTCTCTCTCTTCGAGTCATCCGCTTTCTTTTAAAATTGATACAGCTAATGAGGTACACGAAGCATTCGACCGTGTATCCTATGGCAAAGGTGCCGCTGTGCTCAAGATGATAGCAGCTGTTACAGGAAGGAAGAACTTCATGAAGGGTGTCGATGTAAGTTTCTTGTGCTTTAAAACGAATAAAGAAAGTTGCGACAAATCAACGGAAAAGAGATGCTCTGTCTTCACTTTGATTACATGTTTCGTCAAAAGAGTGCCTCTATAACCTAAGACCCCGGACAGACTTCGCGCGATTTGATCGTCGCGACTCAATCGCGACGAGACAACTGTTACAACATCATTCCATGCCAATCAGCTTGCATTTCGGTTGTGATACTTTTCCAGCCCGAAATTTCTGAATGTGAAATGAAAATGAATGGAAATGTCGGCGATTGAGTCGCGACGATCAAATCGCGTGAAGTCTGTCCGGGGCCTAATGTCAAAAAGCAACTTTGCGTGAATCGAAGTTGGTGAGAACACTTTTCCACGCATATGCATTCAATATCAGACCATATATGCTTTTGCCGGTCTTTTATTTGTTCAGAGCAACAGCAAGCAAATCAAATACAGGGCGTCCCAAAAGTAAGTACACACTTTTCAATCGTTAATATCTATCATCCCATTGCGTCTTTTTCCGTTATCTAAGTAACATTCTGTAGAGGTGGCTTCAACTCAAATCTGCAGTATCGAGCGAATCACCGATCGCTTTTCATTACTGTAGGATCACTGTAGAAATTTCGACAAGGATTTTAGACCATTGGAAGCCATATTCTGTCTCGGAACAAAACCAAACAAACCAAAAATGACACTATGGAATGGAAGCCGCTGATTTCAAATATAAAATTTCCACTTTACTGTGATGCTTCTTTCCAATGTTATCCCAAGTAAACCGTAATAACCGAATTTCCATTCTCTGTCAGAAATGTGATTATACCGTCAAAAAAGCTGAAAACACCCGTAAAAAGTTGTGTGATGGAATCAGCGTGCATGAAAATCCTATACGATTTACCAAATCTTTTGAAAAAAAAATTTTGTCAGATGGGATATTTCACAATGGTTTCACATGCCTGAAATTCTTACCGTAATCCTACAGTAAGACGATCGGTGATTCGGTCGATATTGTGAATCTGAGATGAAGTTTCTACAGAATGGTACTTGACTGGCAGGAAAAGACTCATCGAGAGGAGAGATATTGACGATTGAAAAGTGTGTACTTACTTTTGGGACTCCCTCTATGTCCATTATGGAATGTATTTGGTTGGTCCGAAAGTTTGTGCCGTTTTCAGACCAGAGGTGCGATAGGGGGAGCCAAGTCTCCCCCTACCTTCACTTTTGAGCTGATACAGAGTGACCACCTTCACTTTTGCAAAAATTTTTTTGTTGAATATAAAGAAGGAAAATAAGTTAAACAAACGCAAAAGGGATTATTGTAGGCATATACATATGTATTGCAGTTTTAGGAACTCGCCGTCATCCATCGGAAGCGAAGGCCATCACCGCCATGGACGCATCCACTTTTCCGCCTTTCCACGAAATCGGAGAAGATAGCTTCGGGACGAATTTCGATTTAAAAAGCTATGACCAAACGGTCCTCTTTAGGACCAACAATTGACCCAACAGCCCTCTTTAGGGCCACAGATACGATGAACACAGCGGCATAAATATTCGAAATAAACGTGTCAATGAAATGGTGTATTTTGAAGTGAAACTCAACGACACACTACAGATTTTATTAAGTAAATTTAGTTATGTCGTACTGCGAAGAAGGTAGGTCGATCCAGGAAGTATTTGCCGAGAACCAGAATTTTGAATGAAAAAATAACCAGAAATCATGCAAAATTGCCACTGTCATAAACCAAGTGGTTGAAGATGTCAGCAACTGCGACTTCATAGGTTTCAAAGGGTAAGTGTTGCTCTAACAGATAGTGAAAGAATCGGGTCGATTTGAGCAGTGGT